CCCACTCAAAAAAAAAAAAAAATAGCCGGGCATGGTAGCGCATGTCTATAGTTCCAGCTACTTGGAAGGCTGAGGCGAAAGGATCACCGGGGCCCAGCAGGTCAAGGTTGCAGTAGCCAAAAGTGTGCTACTGCACTCCAGCATGGGCGACAGAGTAAAACTCCAACTCAAAAAATAAAAAATAAACAAAAAAATCAAAGCATTAGCCAAGCACGGTGGTGTGCGCCTGTAATTCCAGCTACTTGGGAGGCAGAAGGATCGCCTGATCCCAAGAGGTTGAAGCTGGAGTGAGCATTCAAGGAAACAAACACGTCTTGCTCAGCTGGGTAAGATTTTGAACTTTTCTCCCTGGGAAGTCACACACGGTTGGCCAGAGACAGCCACAAGGGGTATGGCATCCGGCATCCTTGGCAGGATACCCGGCACCACATGGTCTGCCTAGGCTCTTGGTTATGTCTCTCATAGACCCTTGTCAAGGCCGTGCCTGACTCCACTATGGCCATCTCCCTGGGCTGTCAGGAAGAAGAAGCCATTCTCTGGGTTGAACTGAGGGGTCTTAGAAACAACTCTGTTCCTTCATCACGGGTTAATAGCTCAGGACATGGAGACCTGCTTGTGACAAACAGGAGTTCCCCAGAGCTGCAAGGTGGGCCCTGGCAGCTCCACGGGGTTCCACCAACTCCATCTCCAGAGTCAGGATTCCACTCATAGAGCGATTCCTAGGAAGCCCCATCCTGCCCCAGCCCAGTGCCACCAAGCTGAATTAGAATCCCAACTGGGCACAGTGGCTCATGCTTGTACTTTGGGAGGCTGAGGTGGGAGGGTCGCTTGAGCCTAGGAATTCCAGACCAGCCTGGGCAACTTAGTAAGACCTCATTGCTACAAAAAATTAGCAGGGCATGGTGGTGCATGCTTGTAGTTCCAGCTACTCAGGAGGCTGAGGCAGGAGGATTGTTTGAACCCAGGAGGTAAAGACTGTGGTGAGCCAGGATTGAACCACTGCACTCCGGCCTAGGTGATAGAATGAGACTCTATTTAAAAAAAAAAAAGAATGGGCATGGTGTCTCATGCTTGTAATTCCAGCACTTTGGAAGGCAGAGGCAAGAGGTTCATACACACTCGAGCCCTGGGGATGTTTGCCTCAGTTCCTACGGGCTGTGGCCAAAAAGTCTACTCCCCAAGGGCCTGGGTCCCAGTGAGGATCCTCAGTCCAGGAGCTCAGGCTGAACTCAAGGGAAGGTGTCTGCATTGAGCACAGTGTTCAAGACCAATCTGGACAACACAGTGAGAACTCATCTCTACAAAAAATTAGCTGGACATGGTGGCATGCACCTATAGTTCCAGCTACTTAGGAGGCTGAGGCAAGAGGATCACTTGAGCCCAGGAGGTCAAGACTACGGTGAGCCAGGATTGAACCACTGCACTCCAGCCTGGATGACAGAATGAGACTCTATTTAAAAAAAAAAAAAAGCCGGGCTCAGCAGCTCAGCCTGTAATCCCACACTTTGGGAGGCTGAGGTGAGTGAATTGCCTGAGCCCGCGGGTTCAAGACCCGCCTGGGCAGCGAGACCTCATCTCTACAATAAATCAAAAAATCAGCCGGGCATGGTAGCGCAAGCCTGTAATTGCGGCTACTCGGAAGGCTGAGGTGGAAGGATCGCCAGAGCCCCGAGCGAGTGAGACTCCAACTCAAAAATAAAAAAATAAAATAAAATAAAATAAATTAAATTAAATTAAATTAAATAAAATGAGTGTCCCAGGGAACAAAGCCAACATGACAATACCTTTTCTGACTGCATCTCAGAAGCCGTGCAGTCACCTCCGTGGCATTCTACCTGTTACAAGCAAGTCACAAACATGCCCAGATTCAAGAGGAAGAGACGTGGACCCCAGCCTTCCATGGAGAAGCTTCAAGGTCACATGGCAGAAGAGGACGTAGATGGAAGACGCTGCTGCCGTCATACATGCCCTTTGTCCTAATGTCCCCTGTATCGTCAGTCCCTACTGCCCTCAGCCTTGGGGAATCTCACACAGCCCAGCCTGTGCCCAGCTGATGAGGCAGCTTATATGCTATGGTAGGAGAGGGCTGAGTGAAAGGTGCAGGAAGTGACCAGAATGGCGCCGAGCATGGTGAGGACACACCAGACAACAGAGGCCCTAGGTCCCGGCTTCTGTGTGCACAATTCAAACCTGCAAGCCTCCAATCCGTAGCCAGCTTTGCTATGCGTCCAATAGGACTGTAACACGGCGTTGGCCCCACCCTACTCCCATGCAGCTCCTCCAATAGAAACATAGCACGGCCCCTTCCGGCCCCTGTCAGGCTAGTAAATACAGCCCTCTCCTTGCATATCTCTCTCTCTCAGTCTCTCTTTCTCTCTCTCTGTCGCTCTCTCCCTCTCTGCAGCTCTCTCCCTCTCTGCAGCTCTCTCCCCGCCTCTCTCCCACTTCCTTTCTCTCTCTCTCTCCACAGACCCTTTCCCTTTTTCCCTTATAACCGCTGCTTTAATAAATCTCTTGACCTTAAACGGGTGAGGGGTCATTACTGGCGCCAAACTTCTTTCACTGAGAAAACAGCCCATCACGGTGCCCACAGTCTCCCAGGCCAGGCACCTTGTGCCCAACAGTTACTGAGCACTTACTTTTTTCTTTTCTTTTCATTTCAGGTGAGTGCTACCACGCCTGGCTCATTTTTTTTATTTTTAAGGGGAGGGAAGGAGGAGGAGAGGGGAGGGGAGGAGGAGGAAAGAGAAGGAAGGGGGAGAGGGGGAGGAGGAAGGGAAGGAGGAGGGAGAGCTTTTTTATTTTTTAATTTTTTGTAGAGAGAGGGTCTTGCTTTGTTGCCCAGGCTGGTCTTGAACTCCTGGCCTCAAGCAATCCTCCCACCTCAGCCTCCCAAAATGCTGGGATTACAGGCTTGAGCTACAGCACCCAGCTTAAAATAACATATTTAAGAAGGCAAGTCTTTTGATGCATTTTTCCCCACCTCCCTCACCCCCACAAAAACATTCAGTGCTTCTCAGTGGTGTCAGTCTGGCTCTGATAGGTATGATAACTGGAGGCAGTGGGAGTCTGCACAGTCGACATTCTCAGGAGACCACCAGTGGCCATAGCGTCTGTCCCTGAATGCCGTGAGGGCCAGGATTACCCCTGGAAGAAAATTTCCCAAGTTTGATCTTTAGAATGTTTCTGGCTATTCAGAAGGGGGATAAAAAGATCCTTTGGGAAGTGGATTTTGTTTGGAAGATTTGGGGTTTAACAAAGGTGAATGGAGATGTGCTTTGGAGGGCAAACTGGCACCATCTTCTAAATGTATCTGGACAGAAAATCTGCTTCTCGGCAGGCATGGTGGCTCACATCTGTAATCCCAGCAGTTTGAGAGGCTAAGGTGGGCGAATTGTTTGTGCCTAGCAGTCCAAGACCAATGTTGGCACATAGCAAGACCTCATCTTTACAAAAAAAAAATTTAGTTAGGGCGGGGCACAGTGACTCATGCCTATAATCCCAGTACTTTGGGAGGACAAGGTGGGATGATTGCTTGAGGCCAGGAATTTGAGACCAGCCTAGGTAACACAGTGAGACCTCATCTCTACCAAAAAATGCAAAGATTAGCTGGGCGTGGTAGCACTTGCCTGCAGTCCCAGTCACACAGGCAGATGAGATGGGAGGATCACCTGAGTCCAGGAGATTGAGGCAGCGGTGAGCTTTGATCCTACCACTGCACTCCAGCCTGAGCGACAGAGATCCTATTTTTAAAAAAAATTTGCTTCTCAAGAAGCAGGTCTTGGAAGGAAGTGACATACCACCTGGTGCCCCACCACCACTATGCATGTGACTCTTGACACTATAGTGGATCTGGAAGTGACCAGCTTACTCAACCATGCCGATGACAACAGTTCCCCACCTGCAAGCCACTGTGGGCACTTTTCACAGGAATATCTGCAGAAACTATTTCTAACCAACAATATGCATAAACTAAGGCAGCCGTGGGGCTTCTGTGACCCTGAGGGCATCGTTTCTACTTCCCCTGAGAAAGGGGACCTGAGTCCCAAACAACAGGCAAGCCAAGGGTGGTAACGAGCCCACTGTCTTGTGTGATATTGTAACACCGTCTGACACATCGCTGGCCCACAGGGCCATCTAGGAGTGGACTAACCTCAGCCGTGGGCTTCTGTCCCCACTGCTTTTCTATCTGTGCTATTTCAGTATGTGTCCCTTGCTGGCTAGCAGTCAGCTATCCCCTTCCACTGTTGGGTTTTTTGTTTGTTTGTTTGTTTGTTTGTTTGTTTGAGTCAAAGTCTCACTCTGTCACCCAGGCTGGAGTGCAGTGGCATGATCATGGCTCACTGTAGCCTCAACCTCCTGGGCTCGGGTGATCCTTCTCCTTCAGCTTCCACCCAAGTAGCTAGGACTATAGGCATACGCCACCACACCCAGCTAATTTTTCTGATTTTACTTGTTTTTTTTTTTGTGGAGACGAGGTCTTGCTATGTTGTCCAGGCTAGTCTCAAACTCCTGGGCTCAAGCAATTCCCCCCACCTTGGCCTACCAAAGTGCTGGGATTACAGGCATCCGCCACCGTGCCAGCCCAGCCCTTTTCCACTGCTAACTGGCTCCTTCCTTCCCATGTGAAATTTACCACTGCCGGCTAAGCAAAGAGGATGGAGAAACTAAAGAGCCTCACCTGTTAGAACTGTGTGAAAACCAGTAGAAAAGCCTGCGGGTGAGGGCCAGGTGGCCTCAACAGCCACTTGCAGTGCACAGAGTGTTTCACTAAGGCCCCCCGAGTTCCAGACGGGGGCAACTGTGTTGTCACAAGGTCGGCAAGATGAAAAGAAAACCCACCTGGGAGTAGCCAATGACGTCCCCTCGGTCATCCAGCACATTAAAATTGATGACCGGCCCCTGAACCTCAGGGCTGCTGAACTCGGAGTCGCCGTAAATCCGCACCACGGGGGCCCCATTGGGGTACCGGAGAGAGGTCAGGGCCGCGTGGGTATACTGTGCCAGGCCGAAGGTATGTTGCTGTATTTCCTCCATTCCACCTCAACACCAAGGACGAAATGCAAAAAGCATCGTGAATTTTGATGTCAATTCAATCACTCACTTCTAAGAAAACGTGCTCGTTACAACTGGCAAACCTGGACTTCACATTAATGATTTTAAAGATATGTAAATGGCCAGCATGATGGCTTATGCCTGTGATCCCAGTACTTTGGGAGGGCAAGGTTGGAGGATTGCTTGAGGTCAGGAGTTTAAGACAAGCCTGGGCAGCATAGCAAGACCTTACCTCTACAAAAAAAAAAAATAGCCAAGCATGGTGGCACCTGCCTGTAGTCCCAGCTGCTCAAGAGGCTGAGGCAGGAAGATTGCTTGAGCCCAGGAGTTGGAGGCTGCAGTGAGCTGCAATTGTGCCACTACACACCAGCCTGGGCAAAAGAGTGAGACTCTGACTCAAAAACAAAACAATATGAACCTATGAACTATATTGAAAAATAAATAAAAGAAAAAAACAAAGGCCAGGTGCAGTGGCTCATGCCTATAACCCTAGCCCTTTGGGAGGCCAAGGTGAGAGAATTGCCTGAGCCCATGGGTTTGAGACCAGCCTGGGCAACTTGGCGAGACCTCATCTCTATAATAAATCAAGAAAAATTGGCCAGGCATGGAGGCACAAGCCTGTAGTTCCAACTACTTGGAAGGCTGAGGCAGAAAGATAGCCTGAGCCCAACTGGTCGAGGTTGCAGTAGCCATGAGTCTGCCACTGCCCTCCAGTTTGGGCAACGGGTTGAGACTCCAACTCAAAAAAGAAAAGAACAAAATAATTTTTAAAAATAAAGATGTTTAAAGCTATGGGGCCATCCTTATGACACACGCTTAGCTCTTTGGTACTGAACAGCAGTTTTCCATTGCCGTTTCTGTGGAAATTTTCCATAGAAATTCTTGTCACCCTCTTTTTTCCATATAATGTTACTTAAACATTCAGATAATTTAGACCTTTTGTTAACAGATCACAAAGATGTCCAGTATTTTATTTTATTGTGACATTTTATTATTGTTTGCTTTTATTAATGTTTAAATCATTTAAATAATAGACAAAGCACACCAGGCAAGGTGGCACACTCCTATAATACCAGCACTTTGGGAGGTGGCTGCCAAAGGATTGCCTGAGCCCAAGAGGTCGAGGCTGTGGTAGCCATGAATGAGCCACTGCACTCCAGCCTGGGTGGCTGGGTAAAACTCAGTCAAAAGAAAGAAAGAAAAATAAAGGAAGGAAGAGAGGGAAGGAGAGAGGGAGGGAGGGAGGGAGAGAGGAGAGAGGGAGGGAGTGAGGGAGGGAGGAAGGAAGGGAGGAAGGGAGGAAGGAAGGAAGGAAAAGAAGGGGGGAAGGCAGGATTGGCAACAGTGGGAATCTGCCGGGGGAGGGGGGCACACCTCATCAACAAGGGTACCTGCATAATGAAAATTTGTATACTTAACCCTGAATTGTACCCCACATCTTTAAAATAAAAATTTTTTAAAAAAGAAAGAGGAAGAAGGAGGGAGTGAGGAAGGAAGGAAAAAAGAAAGGATGAACCTAGGAAATACTACGCTAAGTGAAAAAAGCCAGACACGAAAGGACAAATATTGTATGATTCCACTGATGTGAGGTCCCTAGAATAGGCAAATCCAAAGAGACTGAAAGTAAAACTGAGGTTGCCAAGGGCTGGGGCTGGGGGAGGGAATTGGGAGTTTACTGTTCAACGGGTTCAGAGTTTCTGTTTGGGCTGATGAAAAAGTTCTGGAAACAGATAATGGTGATGGTTGCATAACATTGCGAATGTACTTAATGCCACTAAGTTGTGTGCTTAAACATGGTTAAAATGATAAATTTCATGTGATGTACATTTTACTGCAATTTTTTAAATAAAGGGCAATTAAGTAGTAAAAATCAGGGTCTGCCATATCATGGGCTGGTATCATCAACCTTTTCCCTCTGGGATGCCCAGCCCTCTTAGACACCATCACCTGAGATCTGGGTGCCCTGTTAAGACCTTTCCTTGGAAAGTGCCCACCCCTCGGTGTAGCCTGTACTATCCGCCCCCCCTTTGTCCTGGGTTCTGCCCACTCCGCTCCCTGCAATTGCCAGCAGGGCAACCCGCTCTCACCAGGAATCCCTTCTGCCCCTGTGTTGGGCTAAGGCTGAGGATCTGAAGGGCCTTGTTGTAACAAGAAAGAGAGCACCAGTCAGGAAGTAGGACGTGCCTCGCACAGACCATGGGCAGAGGTGGTGGCAGGGAGCTCAGGGCGTGGTGAGGGCATGCCGTGGCCTGAGTCCTTGCCTCCCAGTCGCCAACTCTTAGTCTGGAAGGCCTTTAACTTTCCTGAGCCTTGGCTACTTCATGAGCAGAGTGAGCTCCTCACATAGCTCCCAGGGGCTGCAGAAGGATCTGGAAAGGCAAGAGTTGAATAAGGCCTTGGGATCCGGGACCATCAAATCCCTTTCTGTGCTGATTCTCCTATTTGGATACAATGTTTTGTTTTTTGAGTCAAGGTCTTACTCTGTCACCCAGGCTGGAGTGCAGTGGCACACACACGACCACCACACCCTTGACCTTCTGGGCTCAGGTGATCCTTCCTTCTCAGCCTCCTGAAGAGCTGGGACTACCACTCCATCTGGCTAATTTTTTGGCTTATTAAAGAGACGAGGTCTAGCAAAGTTACCCAGGCTGGTCTCAAACCCCTGGATTCAGGCAATCCTCTTGTCTAAGACTCCCAAAGTGCTGGGATTACAGGTATGAGCCACCATGCCTGGCTTGGATAAAATGTTATTTTAGCTGACAAAACAAAAAACAACCCAGAAAAGTCCATCTTGTTCCCTTGCTCTCAGAAGTTCTTTTGAAGTTACTTGGAATTTTTTTTTTTTCTGAGTCAAAGTCTCAGTCCATCGCCCAGGCTGAAGTACAGTGGCATGATCACAGCTCACTGCAACCTTGACCTACTGGACTCAGGCAATACTTCCTCCCCAGCCTCCCATGTTGCTGGGACTACAGATACACACCACCACATCTGGCTAATTTTTTTTATTTTTTTTGCAGAGACAAGATCTCGCTACGTTGCCCAGACTGATCTCCTGGGCTCAAGTGATCCTCCCTCCTTGGCCTCCAAAAAGTGCTGGGATTACATGAGTGAGTCACTGTACCCAGTGTGGAATCAGATTTAACCGCATGCGGTGCCCAGCCACTACATGCCACACACTTCCACAGACCGTCCTCTTCCTCTGAATGACACCTGTGCCAGGACTCCAAGGACACAGCACCCCAGATCCACATGGAGAAAAACGTCCACTGACCTGTGAGGCGCTCCAAGGCATCAAATCCATGTTTTAGCGCTATGACATCAAGGAACGAGATGGTGCCGTCTTCGAACCTACAGCCACGGGGGGGAGAGGGACAAGATCAAGCTGTGGCCAACTCCATCCATGTGCATTTTGTAGTTTGAGACGGGGTCTAGATTTTAGGCTTGGCCTCCTTCTGTTAAACCCTTCCTTCTCTCACCTTATGAAAACCACTGTTCTCCCTCTCAGGAGAGAGACTACCCACCAAGACCCACTTGGCTGCCCTGGCCCTGACCCGCACTGAGGCCTTTGGCTGCTCCAAACTTCCTAGGGTGGCTGGCAGTGGTGATAAAGGGTCTGAAAAGACAGCTGCCACCTTGAGACACTAACGAGACAAGAGATGCTTTGCTGCCCCCAGAAGGCTTGACGTGATAAAACCTCAAGTGCTTTTGGCTCTTGAAATACTGCTCTTTGATTATAAGAGGGCATTATGGACAAGGCATCAATCGTACAGTTAAGGTTTTTGGTGGGTTTTTTTTTTTTTTTTTTTTTTTGGGGGGGGGGGGTTTTTTTTT